ATGTTTCAAATATTCGAATTTAATTACGTTCTTAGAACAGATCAAAAAGGGTAGATTTTACTCGGTAGATTAGATTTTAGGTGTCTAATAATTTTTTTTTATTGAATTTATACTTACGAATTTGAAATTGCTTATATTGCAAACTACGCATCGTTACTTTTAACGAAATTTAAAACGCAGCAGTTCAAAGCTATAATAAGTTAAATTTATTATTCTCTTTAATAAATCGATGATCATTTATGAAATCAATTACCTTCTTTTCTCTTGCAACAGAAAATTTTTATTGCGAAAAATATCATCTTAGCTATCGAACCTAAATCACCCGAGCAGATATTTTTTGTTAATTATGTTCGTATAGAATAGAAAAAGGAGGAAGGAGGAAAGAAAATATTATTATTCCGCAATGTTAAATGTGAGCATTTCTCAGAGATATTCAAAAATATTTCAAAATTTCGACGAAACGCAGGATGTCTATTACTTGGAAAAACTTGGAATTCTAAAAGAATTCATGTTTTGAAAAATCAGAGAATTTTATTAAAAATTAGAGAATGTTTTTAAAATTGCTTTTTTTAATATTTTTTCTTTATACTATAATTGGGAGTTTATCGATTAAATTATTAAGGATAACAACAACAATGGATACATTCTCAATATCAGAGCACATTAATTTTACAATAAATCCAATATTCAGTATTGATAATAACGATTTCGTGCAGTTTAATGAAGATAGATATTTATTTTAATAGTTTTATAAAAATTGAATTTTGTATCGATTATGCATAAGTTTCGGTTTCCAATTTTTGAAAATAAAATTTGAAAATTTTATGCAATATAAAATATTTATTTTTTTAGAACTCTTAGTCATTTATAATTTTTCAAATTTAATCATTGGAACTCGAATGCTTTTTAATTTTATTTTATGATTTATAAATTTTTATGAATGAAAAAAAATTAAAGAGTACAAATATATATTTATTTTTAAAATATATTTTAAAATGTTTTTATCTGGAATTTTTAACAAATTGCCTTCAGAAAATCAGGGAATTCTCAGAAAATTTTTTTTCGGATTGAAATCTTGGAAATATATCTGAGATTTCAACGATTAATTCATAAAAGCGTATTGACGTTTAATCATAAATTTAAGAATCCAGTGTACAACACCGCCGTGTTTGCGCGAGGTGCGGATTTCACTCGGCGAGTTTATTCACCGCGAATACCTGCTCGATTCTTATCACGTTGTTCGCAATCGCTCAACGACACGGTGGGAGGAGAGCGCGGCCGGAAGAAGGGCGCAAAATCAGCTTTTGTATGCGGATTGCGGAACCGCAAGAAACGTCAATTCACTCTCCTCTTGGCTCTCCCCCGTGTACATACGCGCCAGACTCCATGTGTATGTATGCGCTCTTGATCCTTAGATTTTCTCGTAAAACCAGCGACAGAGTGAGCCTCGACCAATGGCAGTGGAAGCATGGCGCTCGAGGTGTGAATTATACATGAGGATATATCCCTACACAGTCCTCTCCACCGCGTATCCCTTCCTCGTGCACCGCGCCTTCGTTGTCTTTCTTGCTCTCTCATATATATTCACCGCGACCACCATTCACCCGACCAGAAACCGCTTCTTGTATGCCCGATCTTCTCACGCCCGCCGGTATAACATCTCGATTTCAAAACGGTAATTATATTTAGAGCATTGGAACAAAATTTTTGATGTTAATAATGAGTCAATTTCATTTGACAGATTATCGCCCCGATTTCGTTAGTTTCCTTTAAGAATGTATATGTGATCCTGCGAAAAATTCAATTGCAATTGAAAGTGTATTAATATATCTGCCATACAAAAATAAATATTATACAGATATAAAAGCTGAATAATATTATATTTTTATTCAACAGCAAATTTTTATCATCTATTTGCTTACTTGCTATTCATTTCATTGTTTTCATTTTTCCAAATTAGATAATAAAAATGAATCTTAATTTATTTTTCGCACTTTAAGTATTCAAGATAATTTATGTAAAGTTTCATTGACGGGAAGATGGAAAGATTACTTATTCTGTAAATAGAATTTATTCATTTGATTAGCTGCGATTTTTCTATATGTATGTATTACAGGATAAACGTAATTATCTCGAGTGGTGCCATGCACCTTTAAGTGTCGACTTTACATATGTACATCGCGGGCAAATCGCGGGCAAATCGCGGGCGGTATCGACGTATCGCGTTGATGCGGAGAAAGAGCGAGCGCAGTTGTGTGCAACAGAGAAAGGGAGTTAGGCACATAATATCCCCACGGTACGGGGTTAATCGGGCGATGCCAGTTCATTAGTCGCACACGTAGGTGTACGCGACGTATAGCGCTATATACATGAGACCGCTCGGCGCGACGCTAATGAAACTAAACGATATCCGGAAATGGCGTGCCGTGAGTTAGTTTCATTCGATTTCATGAGCGCGGTTCGGGGTCGTTTTCACCCCCGTGCGCGCGAAGGTCCGCGTTATACGGCGGCCGAGCGCGGCCATCGAGGTTTTTGTTCCAATTTCACGCGTCACCCCAATCGTCCGAATTTGAATAAACGAACGTAAAGCGTTTATCGACGTTTCCCGAGCGAGATTTCCTTCGAGAGATAATATTTTAGCGGAGTACAATGACAATATCCTCCCAAAATTTACACACATTTATAGAGTTAAATGAAACGTAGTCTTAAAATAAATTTCCTTTTCCATCTACTGTAATTATAATTATTATTCTGTAATGGCAACAGGTATTTAATGCTGTATATGATAATTCAGCCTTTTGGACAGTCGCGTCTAAATTACATTTAATATTGTCATCAAATATTTATCAAATTTCTTATAAATAAATCAGCTCGAAAGGAACAGTTTTGCTGAAAGATCTGACCAAAAATTTGGCCATATACAGATCCGAAAATAATTTCATTGGACCATCAAAATTATTATATAAGATGTTCAAATTGGTTGCTACAATATAAAAAATTTTGCAGTATTAACATCATGCTTAAGCGCTTTATAATAATGTTGATGATACTTTGCAATCAAAGGTCTAAACTTCACTCGTCTCTTTCACTATTAGAATAATTAATCGCGAAGTTAATTACGCAAAGTTAATTACGCAAAGTCATAAGGCATATTATTATTATTATGCTAAGACTTAATGGGGTACAACTGCCCGATCGTTCTTGAAATCGATATACTTGTTCGTCGCAATTAGGCAAGCTCGGCACATCACACGTGACTTCACTCGCATGTACTCGTGCGATCGTAGATGATTTTGCGTTCTACAAAACCGAGCATTAGTCACTATCAATCTACTCCGAATATAGTCGCGAGAGAGAGAGAGAGAGAGAGAGAGAGAGAGAGAGAGAGAGAGAGAGAGAGAGTCGCG